GACTATGGAGCACAGCCACCACAGAGCTTCTCTATGATGTTGTACCTCTCGACAAAGCATTCCTTACTGCTTTGATAAATGGAGTGTCCTTTGCAACTTCCTTTAAAACAAAGACATCAGGCAGATTTTCCAGCCTTACATAGGATATTTACTTCCTTGAGCTTTTTTATTTCTTTTTGACTGTCTGTCCCTCAGTGTTGGCAGTCTACTTCACTTAATGTGGGCCATCATTATCTCCACACTCCTAAGGGTGATTTCTAACTGTATGATGGCATCAACTCTCAGGATTCTTTACCCTGGCAGAATTCTCCCACATCGATAAATTCTCCCTCGGGCAAATTTCTTCTTCTCTCTCTTTGGGTAACACAATACAATTACATTTTAGAAAATTTGGAAGCAAGCAAGAAACAGAGGATTCTGTGCTATCAGAAAATTCCCCCAAATTAGGTGACTTTTCTTTAAATAGATTAGAATACCTAAGGTGAAACAGAATTGTGAGAAAAGCATTGTGATTTCAAACAATAAAATCATTTGTAAGTCTAATACTGTCTCAACGAGATGAGTGAGATGAAGGAGAATACAATTAGTGCATAATTTTTTTTCTGCGGTTCTTGTATCTTCAGATATTTTTCTCTTTTTTTCATTCAATAGGAAGAGAGAGAATCTGGTCCTACAACCGTTTGCAGATGGAATAGCTAATATGTGTAACCACTTGGCCAACACCACTCTGTGAACACCTTGTAGGGCACAGTTTCCAACAGAATCTGTCATAGAATATAAAAAGGAGCTGTGCAAAATGTGGTTATCTAAGGTAGAAACAAAACATCTTCCTGAATTTTCCAGGAATAAAAAAGAAGGGGTCATATTTGTAGAGGCAAACAGCATTGACACTGCCTGAGACAGCCATTCACAGTTGCAATTACTTCTTAAATACCATCCTGAGCATTTCAGCATTTTTTTATCTTGATGCCAGCTGCCCCCACTGCCCCAAAGCCCAGACTACCAGCACTGCCAATCTTTCCCATATGCTAGAATTAGAATGTGAATATGGTGGCTAAAAGAAAAATGTTGAAAAAAAGGTCATTTTTCTAAAGGCCAACAATATTAAAAGTGAGTCCTTCTTAACTTGCTGAGTAAACCAGATAGTTTCCCTGTGAACAAAGCAACTCACTTAGCAGCCTAAACCACTAGAACTGAATTGACCTCTTGGATACATACGTATTAATATATACCCAAAGTATATTACATTTCATTTGTCTCTTAGATCACAGAGAGGTTCTTTCCTTTACCTTTAACCTTGAGACAGGTAAACACAACTGGGCCTGGGGATCTTCTGCATATTAATCAGAGATATTTGAAATATTTGATAAAAACAATGTATTATATTCCTTACATATTTGTTTTTCTTTTCATTTCTCTTGATATTTTGAGAAATTCAGTCCATATGCTTTTGAATCATTTACACTTAGATTATTTTAAAATGTTTTATAAGATCTATTTATCATCCAAAAGCTTTACAGATATTTCTTTTCTCTTCAAGCTCTTTATTAAAACACATACACAAAGGAAACTACGATTTGCCAAGTATAAACAAGTACAGACACCAAATATCTCAAGTAGACTTGGAAACCTGACTCTGTGAATTTAAAGTAAAATTTTATCCTTGGTTCATGTGAAAGATGTGCTGACACCCACTCCTGCCTGATCCCTCCAGTAGCTTCTATAACATAATTGCTACTTTTTATCATGGACCCTTTCCAGCTCCCAAGACTCTCCCATAGATGGTTCCAATTTGTCCCTTCAGGATTCCATACTCTTTTTCCACAAAAATAGCATCGCTGCCATCACTCACGGCTGGAGAGAGGGAGCTATACCCACATGGGAGCCTCTTTTGGGGAGGAAATGCCAACTGATAATGGATGGCCCTCCCTGCCATATGCACCCTTTTGTCCTCATTCTTATGTCACAGATTCTGTTTATATTTCCCTCCCTCCTTTTCTTTTCTCATACTCCCTTAGGTTTTCTTATCTCATATTCTTTTTTTTGTTTTTTTAACATCTTGCCTTTCGTGTGACTTAGGTCTTAGGAGAGCTACTCAGGACATTTGGATTTTGGGTCCCAGATAAACAAAATGGTTTAGGTATAACTAAAGAGAGACATCACAAAATTGATTGGAATAAAGTGTCACCTTAGCTCTTATGGGCAAGACAAAGCACTGAGGCCTCTAGATTCAGCCCCAAAGGCAGGTAAATGGTTGTCCTTGTCCCTTACCAAAGAAGAAACTGCTCCCACAGTAGTCCTTTCACTATGTGTCCAGAAGGCAGTGCACTGAATTCTAGGAACAAATGCAGTCCAAATCTTGTCTTCAATTTTACTGCCTTGACTACAAATCCTTTGGAAATTTTACTAAGAGTGTATCATAAGCATCCCAGTTCAAACCACCACTAACGTTCACCTGAACAACCACAGAAGCTGCTTAACTGTGGGCCCACAGCCACTCCTTGCTCCCTCTATTCTTCATTCTATACACAGCATTTAGACAATGTTTTTCAGAATGCAAATTTGATCCCTTTAAACTCTTCTCCCTCACAAAACTTATCAAGGCCTGTGAATAGTTCTCGAAATAAAGACCAAAGTCTAGCCCTGTCTTGCATCACTCTCCCCTCACTCCCCACATCCTACAGCTGCCCTTCTTTTCATTCCTCAGCTCTCCATGCTCCCTCCCACTGTAGGATCTCTGCACTGTGGTACCCCCTTTGAGTACTATACATCTCCCTGTCTGCCACCCTCACTACCCATTCTCCTCCTCCACTCCTTACACAGTTCACCCTTACTCATCCTTCAGCTCTCAACTCAGGCATTATTTCCTAAGAGGAATGTTGGTTCCTCTGTTACATGTTCTTGTTGTACAATATTCCGTTACTTCAGAGTTCTTACGTCAGTATTACTTGTACATTCTTGTGACTTAGATCACCACTGCATCACCAGCATAAGGCCTAACACATAAGACTCAGCCAGTAATTATTTATTGAATGAATAAATTAATTCATAGAGAAACATTTATTATAACATTCCCTTACATATCTTATTTTGCCACCAGCTGTTATTATCGGTATACTGAACTAGATATGGGACTACGTTTTTGTAGACTTTACAGTTTAACTTACATCTTGATGATAGTCTTTAAATAATAGACACCAGGGGCCAGCCCAGTGGCATAGTGGTTAAGTTCACACGCTCTGGTTCCTTCAGTGGCCCAGGTTTTGCAGGTTCAGATGCCAGGCGCGGACCTAGTACTGCTCATCAAGCCATACTGTGGTGGCATCCCACATAAAAAATAGAGGAAGATTGGCACCGATTTTAGCTCAGCAACAATCTTCCTCAAGCAAAAAGAAGAAGATTGGCAACAGAAGTTATCTCAGGGGCAATCTTCCTCACAAAAAGATAAAATTAAATAAATAGCAAACACCAATGTATTCCCTCTGGCTTCACTCATGGCATTGTTAAAATGACATCCAGAAATTAAAAACTGTGAAAGCGCATGTGAAGAGGATGAAATGACAAGCTACAGACTGGGAGAAAATATTTACAAACAATATATCTGACAAAGGACTATCTCTAGAATATATAAAGAAGTCTCAAAACTCAATAGTAAAAGAGAAAACAACAATCCAGTTAGAAAATGGGCAAAAGATATGAACAGACATTTCACTGAAAATGGTATACAGATAGCAAAGAAGCACAAGAAAAGATGTGCAATGTCATTAGCCACTAGGAAAATGCAAATTAATGCCACAACGAGATAGCACTATACATCTATGAGAATGGCTAAAATAAAAAATAGCTGACAAAACCAAATGTTGGCAAGGATATGGAGAAACTGGAGAAATGAGATTACTCATACATGTCTGGTGGGAATGTGAAATAGTAAGGCTACTCTGGAAAAGAGTTTCTTTAAAAACTAAACATGTAGCTACCATATAAGCCAGTAACTGGACTACGGGGCTTTTATCTCAGAGAGATATAAGCTCACCCTCACAAAAGACCTGTACACAAATGTTCATAGCAGCTTTATTTGTAATAGCCCAAACTAGAATCAGCCCAGCTGTCCTTCAATACATGAATGGCTATACAAACTACCATGCATACGTACTATGGAATACCACTCAGAAATGAAAAGGAGCAAATTGTTGATACACAATAATTGAGATGAATCTCCAGTCCCAAAAGTTCTCATTGCATTTATATAACATTTTTCAAATGACAACATTTTAGAAATGGATGATAGATTAATGTGTGTGAGGAGTTAGGGATGGGGCATGAAGAGGAAGGAGGAAAGAGGAAGGTGGGTACGGTTATAAAAGGGCAGCAAAAATCAATATCCTGAATGTGGTGGTTGATACACAAACCTACACAGGTGATGAAATCATATAGAAACTACATACACAAACATGAGTGCAAATAAAACTAAGGAAATCTAAATAAGGGGATTGTATCATTATCAATATCCTGATTGTGATACTCTACTGTAGTTTTACAAAATATTACCACTGGGGGAAACTGGACAAGTGTACAAGGGATCTTTCTGTATTATTTCTTACAATTGTATGTGAATCTATATTTATCTCAATAAAAATTTCAACTAAAAATGATATTCATAGATTTTTATCATTTTATTTGTCTCATCCACAGATGAAAACTATGCACAATACATTGGTAGGCACTGGAGACCCAATGAATCCAAGGTAGGACATACCCCTAGCTGTTAGGAAGCATCTATTTCTTGTACAAGGATACAGAGGGAACCAGCTTTCAGAAGCTGGTGCTGTGCCTAGTGGTTTGGACTCAAGGGAAGGTGGAGCTGGTACTGCCCCAGCGCTCTCTGTGGCAGATTTTATAGCCTTGTGACTTCAAATGTTGGGAAACGTAGTTCTAGGAGTTATGGTTGGGACAGGGCAGGACTTCCAATGTGAAATAAAGTAGCAGCTGGAGGAACATACCAATCTGAGGTGAGATCCTGAGGGTGAGTGGTTCTCGGTGGACCTGTGTAACAGAGGAAGTGGGAGGGGAGAAGTTGTTGATTAATACACAAGACTTGATGGTAAGGTTGATGTAAATTTCATCTACTTCCATCTCCACTTTAAGGCAAAGTCTTATCTGCTGTGTGTATGTCTGTGTTTGTGTGTGTGTGTGCGTAAATTTGAAATTTACATAATAGTAATCTGTATCTATTTTGGCTTTGCTGTCTTAACATTTTCATAAAGTGATTGCAGCTGTTGACATTATAGTTCAGAATTTCCTCCCCTCAATTAAAAGCAGTATGGTGGGGCTTAATTATATTACGGAGAGTTTTAATAAGATATCACCAAAATTATCATGAGATCTCATTAGGTTTACCACAAAACTTTAAGTATCTGTGATAACACTTCTCAGGGGCTAGATTCTAGAATAATGCTCAAGGAAATTCTGAGATTTTACCAAATAGTAAACAGCAATGAAATAGCCACACTTAATTACTGGAATGATTGATATTTTCTTTCCAGATGTAGTTACATGAAGTGAAATTTGATGGTGTGTTCTTAAGAGAGGCAAAAAATAATGCTGCTGTAGAAGAGCTGAAAGCAAGGCAGAGACCATCCAAAATAATGGAGAGAAAGCATGCTAATTACCAACTCACTAACAGTGTCTCACTGATGTGCTCTCTGAGAGCTGCACCTTTTTTTCACAGAACATCTGTAGCCCTGTGGGTACAGACTGTCAAAATGAGGTTAAAGAAGTTGGCAATGGGCACACAATAATTGTGATGTCACATCCATAACTATTAAATAATAATAATAAAACAGTAAAGCAGTAGGGTGATATACACAGAGCCAGGATAAGATTTGATTTCTCAAGAGCCAAGTAAGAATCAGCTGGGAAAAACACCCAGCTCTAGAGAAAAATACAGTAATGAAAAGAGTGTACTGTTATTATACTGAGAGAAGCTTTGCAAGTCGCACCATACATTCACGGCCGAAGAATCAGGTCACATCAGGAAAGAGGCATGTGGTGAACCTTAGAGAACTTAAGTAGGAAATGGATTTAATAACTGTTGACTGTAACCCTGGTGGATGCTTCAGGCTCTCTCTCTGTGATGAACCAGCGCGTATCCAGTAGTACATTCCGTCCCAAGAAGCCAACAGTCCATTACTAACCTACAGCACATGTTGCATGAAAACCTGCTTTTGTTTTCACCATGGAACCTCTGCCAGTTTCCTTTAATTAACCTGGATTATAGTGCTGATCTTAGAAGAAGAATCTAAGCAGTCAAAAGGCCAATGTTTCTCTTCAAAGATTATCCTCAATTCACAGATAGAAAAAGGGTCCTGCTAGATTTGTCAAACGGCCGGTTATCCAGTTAGACTTGTGGCTTTGTTACACTTTTGACATTTTTATGGCTCCGATCACATGTCCCTGGCTTGAAATTGACAACTTTAGGATGATTTTTTCCCTTTGTTTTTCCTTCTCTGTCTTTCACACCCATAACTTCATTTGAGTGTTTGCTTCATTTTTCTTGTATGAATCTAACCTGATGTGGATTTATCCACAGAAGGGCTAAAGCTTAATAAAATTTCTGATTCTGTTTCGTGGGGGTGTTATCACTCAGTGACAATTGTCATGGTCTTCTGCATCATTTGTGCTTTTTCTTTCTGAGAAATCATGTACGTGCACACCAATGCGAAGGTACAAGCTCACAGAGGAGGGCGTACAGATATGGGGGCTCACACACACACATAAGAACACAGATATTTAGGGTTTCTTCAGGAAAGAAGAAAAAAATACCGACAGTGTTTTTGCTCTTTAATTTGCCACTAATTTAGACACTCACTGTTATACTTATGGTCCTAGGGCTTGAAATAATAGTGAAGTACGTCTGTAGAACCTTTCTGAGATCATGATTCCATCATTTTACCCATAACCCAGGATTGTATTTTCTTTTCCAAGGTCCAGTAGTAACCTTCAGTTTTTGCGAGCACTTGTGATTCTCAGTCTCAGTATCTCAGAGAATTCCAGATTACTATCATTAGGGAGCACCCCGGACTTTATCTAAAATAAGCTCTTGCTCTTATTTATATATTAGCATTAAAACTTCTTGGATTTTTGTCTTTGATATTGCTTAAATATTCATAAGATGCAAATGGCCCATATCACATACTTTCTTTAAAGCCGGTATTCATGGGGCAAGGATTTAGGAAAGGATGCAGAAAAAGGGAAGCTGGAAAGGCCAAAGATAAATAGTAACAATTTTGCCAAGAATCAGCCCCATGCTTCATGTGAGTTGAAATACATTTACATTTGGCTTTTAATTTCTCCTTCAGTTTGGACTGTGTTTTTGTGAAAATGAGATAATATATGTGAAAGTACCTAGCCGAATTCTTTGGACATGGCAGACACCCAATAAATATAAGTTTTTACTGCTATATTAAGCATCTTCTTGTCATGAGCAGAATTTACCAAGTTCGCAGAGAAAAGTTGCAATTTAGTTGAGCGAATTAGAATAAAACACTTCAAGCTGAGAATACATACTTAATGCTACCATAAAAATTCTAAACCTCACCGTCATCCAAGAATATCAAAATCGTTGAAATCAATTTCTGAAAAATCTAAGAATTCCTATTTTCCATCTCTAACTCTCCCTAAGCTATCATTCCAAAAGAAGTCAGGCAAATTTCCAAAGCGTTCCATTTTCATTTGTTTCACATTATCTTCTAGTTGAGAGTAATAATTGTTAAACCAATCCCATATATGGTAATCTCTTAATAAATGCATATAAATTTATAGGGAATCTTAGCAAAGGAAAGAGCAATTATGCTTGTCTGAAGGTAAAATTCCATTTTAAAATATACATGTGTAATATTTGGTGTTTGTATATACCACTCATTGGCTGCTGACAGGCGTGGTGACAACCCTGTGTTTCTGGTGTCACCACTGGCAGAGTGGCAATAATCATCCATCTTTGAGGGGTGCTGTGTGGTGATTGTTTTGGATGCTGTTATGCAACAAGTGAGTGGCAAAATAAAATAAAAATGTAACCCAAGGCTCTCACTCCTAGCACATGCCAATTCGTATGCTCTAACAGTCTGTTTAACAGTCAAAGCATCTACTAATGCTATAATAAATTTATTTAACAACGTTATTGGGAGGTCTCGAATATTTTATTTATTATATTTTTGTATTTCTTATATTCCTTATGCCACATTAAAATTTTTTGTAGTGTTAAATCAAATCTCTGCCCTATTTAATTCTGGTGTGTTTTAAGTGCCTTCTTATAAGTCTGTCCCTGGATCTAGTTATGTGTATAAATTCAGCAACTGTTATACAGCATATTAAATACATGTAAAATATATAAAGAACTACATCACCAACTCATCATTTTTTTATCTTCCGAGATACTTTAAGGGAGTCATTTTTCATTCTGCATTGATTCATTCCACTTTCAGCCAAACCATTCTTAAGTGACCCATTATCTAGAGATTATGGGAAAGAACTAACCATTCTAATCACTATGGAAAGAAAAATAAGAGCGATATTTCCTAATCTTACAAAGGTGCAAACAAAACTTTGAGGAAGTATTTTATACATTTCTTATGTGGCTTTTTTGTATGGCACTAATTGTATACACACAATAGATGCATCAGGTAAAAGATTTATTTTTTTAATTATGTAAATTGAGAACCCAATATGACAAATTATTTGTTCAAATAAATTAGTTCTGTGGCTAAGAAAAAAATCCCAACCCTCGATCCAGACACCCAGCTCCACTCATTACGAGAGACCATATAACTTCTAAGCATCCCCTGGAAAATTTAGGTCACAGGGTCAATCTCTGCCTTGTTCACAGTGATTTAAAGTCATTAGCAGCTAATGATTATTTGTGTTGAACAAGAGTCCAATCCTGCCACAAGCTGTCATAGTTGGTACTAATTAACAGCCTTGGTAGAAGCAGTAAGTTCAGAAATTGAATAATCCTACCAAGTGCTGTCTCTCTGGTAGGAAGTTGCCTTTCCCATCCCTACCTGTTCTAGGAACGGAGCACTGATGTCTGCAAGATTGGCCACCATGAAGTTTCAACACATCTTCAGTTATTTTTACAAGACAAGGACAAATTTAAAAATACATGAGAGAAAGAAGAGTAAGGTTGTTGCTCCTAATATTCAAAAGTATGATTCAAGGGAATATTATCCAAGAATAATTGCAGGCTTGGTTTAATCAAAAGCAGATTAAACATGTCTCTGGAAGCACAGCTCTGATATCCAGTTATTAATAGTCAGTGCCAGCAATAATAATAATGTACCTTGATGTTTATAGTCAGGGCATGCCCTGTAGGTAAATCAATAAGTAAAGATGAAAGCTCCTGTATAAATTAGAAGTGTTAACATTTCCATGAAGAGTAAATAATTGATTCCTATGACTCTATAGAGAAAACAATTTACTTGAAGAACTTTATCTTATTCCAATTTATAACTCTTCTTGACATTTTGTTCTGATATTCAAAATCATGTCAGAGCAAATGAGCTATTATAGGAAGAGTTGTATTAATTTTGCCCGTTGATATAAGCAAACATATTGCTTTTTATTTTTACGAATAGGTAATTTTGTTTTTCATAAATACATAATGAACTCTGGGTTTTTATTTTTCCGTGAATGGAAAGGAGCTTTTGAATACATAAGATATAGCTACAAGGATGCCAATCTCTTTTTCTTTATATCTCTTCAGACAACACATTCCAAATGTTCTGAAGCCGATTTTTCTTTTTGTACGTAACAAAGTCTGTCACCAGCACAGTGTTGACAGGATTCACAACTGACCCCCTCTTTACATTATGAGTCTTCAACTTCAGCCCAGGCATCAATAAAAGTTCTAGTTAATAACTAAATAAATTATAGAATTTTTGTAGAAACATATTGTATTTAGCAGTAGTGAGTATCCTTTCTTGTCCTTGCAATCACACTGGTCTAACTGAACAGGTTGAGGGACAATACAGATAGCTACATCATTTTATACCTCTTCTTGGCTCAATCTTATGAAAGTGGAAATGGTACTTCCATTGTATTCTATCAAGGTGAGATGTGCTTATGAATCGACGACATTAAGCTTTTGGGGAGTGAGGAGGAATGGTACTTTTTAACAAGTCTTTCTCCATCTGCAATCAAACGAAGAAAAGTTTTCTTGTAGCAAATTGTTTCAGGATGAATTCAAATTTGGTCATTTTAGATGTATTTTAAAAAGTTACATCAGAAAGGAGGTATGATTATATATATATATAATTATATTATGTATTTAAATTTGAAATATAATTATATAATTGAAATTAGCTAAGAGAATAAATCTTAAATGTTCTCACAAAAAAAAGAGAGAGTGAGCATCCATCTATTCAAATGATGCACTTGTCATAGCCTTAGTTTGTTCATAACTGAATATTCTTAACCAAATTTTTCTGATAAATAACTTGGTAAAAATAGAAGTTCTCTGAATTCAATACAAATACTGAAAGCAGCCAACCTATATTCTCCAATGAAGTTCAATTAGAGCGATAGTTTGATTTTTTTCAGTATATGTCTAGAAAAGGCACCCTTTTAGAAATGACTTCTGAATGGCACTGTCCACGGGCAGGAAAATAATATTTGGAAATTTAGACTTATGGATCTGCGATTTAGCCACTTATCAATTTAAAAAAACTTACATTGAATGCTTATTAGGTGCTAAGTACTGTGCTTAAGGATGGGAAGGAACAAACAGAAAGACACAATATTCTAAGGAGATCGATTTAGAGGAAGAGATGGTCAAATAGACCAGTAATTACCAGTCAGTGGGACTCTTGCTATGATAGAAATCTAAGTAATTAATCAAATGATATTTGCTACAACTGGAATTTACATTAAAGTGCCTAGCATAGGTATTTAATTTTAAATGGAGCACAGAGGAAAGCTTATTAGTTCTTAAATATTTAAAGTGTTCTTTTCTGCTTCTTTTATTTCCTCATATAACTACTAGTATACAGGTATTCATAGTTGTCTGCTGCACACATTACTTTTTGGCCAACCTTTATATCTGCTAAATCCAATGAAACATCTATTACCTTGTATGTAGTGGGTACTTGGAGAGTGTGCTGCTATCCATGCAAGGTATGGCAGTGTTTAAAGCTCTCGGCCTCGTGGCCACCATAATTCTGAAGCCCTGAGAAAGACTAAATAGACAGAAATATCAATAAGATCAACCCCATCACAAAACAATGCATAGAATTCACATAGAAACATACATTGTATCTCTCAAATGTGGATAGCACTCAATTCATAGAATTGTTTGGAGGATTAAAAGGCATTCCAGTGTTGCCTATAGAGTTGGTGCTCTGTAAATATTAAACAAATGAGTGAGAGTGAATGAATAAGATAATATATAGAAACCACTGTAAACTTTAAAGCACCGTCTATGCAAGCTGTTACTGTTTGGGATGATTGTTTTTCAGACTTAATAATTTCTAGATAGTTTTTACATCCTCAATCCTCTTTTTTTTTTAAGTTGTTATCTAATTACTTTCCTACACTATAAAAAGACAATATTCATTCTCTACATGGAAGTAAGAAACAAATGTCTTCATCTAACAAAGAAGTACTCCATATCTCCATCAATCTATCAGCGAAGTCTATTAATCTAAAGCAAAGTGACTCTCCCCAGAGGTTCCATTACAGTAAAGTATGAAATAGAGGAGCACTACTAAAGGTTTTGGAAGAAAAATGAACAAATTCCTTAGGCTTCAAGTTACAAGTCGTATGTTATGGAAGATGAAGTTCAGGGTGTGGTAAAGAAATGGACGTACTTCATTCTTAGTATATAAATCAGGATTTATCAGGTATAGTTTACGAGTTAGAGATAACTGCCTATCCAACGCCTGAACTAATTTGCTATCCATTTTTTCTCTAACAGCACAAAGGCAATTGAGGGTGATATTCATAACTGCTCTCAAGAAGTGCTGAATCCAGACTAGAATCAGCACAGAAAACAACCAGGTCAGAATCAAAAGAATTAAAGAATCACCTTCTTAGGAATAGTGTACTATTTTTTAGCCAGAACCGGTCAGCTAGCAAGGCCCGTTATTGTTAGAGCTTATTTTATTATCGCTAGCTACTTTTGAATATTCAGATATAAATGGTCCTATTCTTATTCTAATTTGGTGGTTAGCTTTATAAACATGCCAGAGGATTATTCGACTGGGCATCTTACCTAAGTGTAAAATAATGGTGCTATCCTGGTAAACACTTTATTAAGTGAAGGATGGATATTCTTTCATGTTTTGAAGAGAACAAATACCTCTTTCCTCCCTTTGGAATTCTGTCTATGAGTCCTCATTATTTTAAGAAGTACTACACTCCAGTCTTTTTCAGAAATGTTACCATTTTACTTTGGTGTAAGATATTCCCTTCAGATCTCTGGAGTATAAAGAAGTACTCACTCAGAAACTTATAAATTCTGCCACCTTCACAAAGAGACTGAATCCCTTAGTATACAGTCTAAGTTTCTAATATCAGCAAAGGTCACTCAGAACTCTTTCTGAGCAACAAAGCAGCAGAGCTTGAAACAATGGAGTCAACAACATGACCAAAGCTACCATGAGTCCAGGAGAGCATGGTTTACAGGGTTCCATAGGAAATCAAGAAACCCCTTTAAATCTCAAAGTGCCAAGTCATATTCTAATGTCTAGTTTTCTTGTTGTCAATGCAGTCGAGTTGATTCGACTCCTAGCAACCTTGTGTACTATAGAGCAGAACACTGCCCTATCTTTTTGTGCTGTCCACTCACCTTTTGGCACTATATCAGACAATGTTCCACTGCTATTCCTAGGGTTTTCATGGCCAATTTTTTCAGAAGTGAGTGGCCAGGTCCTTCTTCCTAGTCTGTCTTTGTCTACAAGCTCCTCTGAAACCTGTCCAACATGGGTGACCCTGCCGGGTTATCTGAAATACCAATGGCATAGTTTTCAGCATCACAGCAACATGCAGCCACTACAGATTGACAAATGACAGATATCAGGTGGTGTGCTTCCCTGACCAGGGAACAAGCTCAGGCTGTGGCATTGAGAGTTCTGAATCTTCACCAACAGACCACCAGGGCTGGCTGCACTGTCTAGTTGGTAATGAATAAAATACCTAGAGCCGTTGGTGTCAAGATGGTGGTGTAGGCAGACTCTGAACTCACCTCATCCCTCAGAAACAACAAATTTAAAGCTATTCTTGGAAAAATTACCCCTAAGAGAGAACTGAAAACTGGATTAAAAAGTACCCCTGCAACAAAGGACAGTCCTGACTGAGGTGGAAGAGGCAGAAATTCTGTTGTAGGGAGAAAAAAAAGTCATCTTCATGAACCATGGAGCTTCACAGCTGGCCAGGAGCAATCCTAAGGTAAGCAACCTTCCCTGGAGGAGCGGGCAACCTAAGCAGGGGAGCATTACTGCTATAGGTATCCTTCAGACTCAGCACAACTGAGATGAGTCTCATAATATCTGGCTTTGCTGGCTATTAACTGCAACAGGGGATACTCTTAGACAAGCTATCAGACATAAGTGGGAAAAGGCCAGCTCTTAAATGGCCAACACGCAAATGCACCCCTTTTGGAAACCAACCTAAAATCACCAGAAAGAAAGGTGCACAGTCATTTCTTGAAAAGAGACTCACCTGATAGGCTCTGGGCACATCTCAGTGAGAAGTGAGAACTCTCCAGGGACTGAGACATTGGTGGTAACCATTATTGTGACGTAGTACAGGCATGCTGACACAGACACAGGCAGATGCCATTGGAGTTCTTCTCCTGGCCTGTTAGACCAAAGTCTGCCCCACCCACTGGTAAGCCAGTTTAATCAAGGGCAGGCAGCCAGCCCTAGGGATTGGCCACACCCAACAGCAAGCCCTCAGGCAACTTATGGGTCTACGTAGACTGGGTTCCTGGATCCTCTGCAAGCAGGAGAGTAGGTACACCTCTGTGGGGCAGGGTGTGTGTGAGGAGTGGGTGGAATGTGTGGGGGCATTGGTAGAGTGTGTGGGGGCCCCTGCAGTGGGGCAACTGGGTCTGCTGCAGGGGTTCAGCATGTGTGCATGGGCCAGGATTGTGTTGACAGTTTGTGTGGACCTGTGAGCCATGGGGCTTGTCAGCTGCAGAAGACTGGTGCTTCTCAAACAGCCACATAGGAGATCAGCCACACCTTCCAAAGCCTGAAACAATTGGGTGCTCCAATGCCTGGAGACAGCCCCACTCTGCTGCAATCCTGAGAGAGCTGAGAATAGACTTGAGGCCAGAAGGCTACAGCATTTGTAAGCCCAGAGCCTAGCAACCAAACACACTGGGGGCCTACTCAACAGAAAAACTGCAACAGGAATGTGCTATTAGACCTTGCAGCCAACTGTTCTGGGGCTCCCCAAACACAATAAAGTGACTGAAGGGTCCAGACTAAAAGGTCTCAGAGACATGCAGCTGAGGATTACAAGCAGTTGGCCAAGGGGACAGCCTATCCTCCCTGGGCACCTACAGCAAGAGCAATCCCGCCACAACAGAAGGACACATGTAGCCCACACAAGGGTAACTCCTGGAACATTTGGAAGTGGTGATGAGAGGGAAGCACACTGCTGGGCCTCATAAGGCATCTCTTACATAAGGCCACCTCTCCAAGATCAGGAGAAGTGGCTGACCCACTTAACACATAGATATAAGCACAGAGAAAGAGGCAAATGAGGAGACAAAGGAATATGTTCCAAGCAAGGGAAGAGGAAAAAAATCCCGAAAAAGAACTAAACGAAACAGAAATAAAGAATCTACTAGACAAATAGTTCAAACAAAAAGTCACAAGGACTGCTTGCTGATGTTTGGAGGAGAATGGATGAAGTCAGTGAGAAGTTCAACAAAGAACTGGAAAATATTTTTAAAAACCCACTCAGGAATGAAGAATACAATACTGGAATGAAAAATTCACTAGAGGGACTCAAGAGCAGAGTAGATGATACAGAAGAACAGATCAGCCAGCTGGACAAAAGACTAGAGTAAATCACCCAAGCTGAACAGATAAAAGAATTGAAAAGAATGAGAACAGTCTAAGGGAACTCTGAGACAACATCAAGCACACTAACATTCGTATTATAAGTGTCCCAGCAGAAGAAGAGAGAGACAAAGGGGCAGAGAATCTATTTGAAGAAATACTAGCTGAAAACTTTCCTAACCTAAGGAAAGAAACAGACATCCAAGTACAGGAGGCACAGAGAGCAGCAAACAAGATAAACCCAAAGAGACCCACAGCAAGACACATTATAATTAAAATGTCCAAAATTAAAGATAAAGAGCGAATCCTAAAAGTCACAAGAGAAAGGCAATAAGTGGCATACAAAGGGAATATCACCTAACTTCTCAGCAGAAACCTTACAGGATAGAAGGGAGTGGCATGATATATTTAAATGGCTGAAAGGAAAAAACCTACAGCCAAGAATACTCTACCCAGTAAGATTATCATTCAGAATGGAAGGAGAGATAGAGTTCCCAGACAAGCAAAAATTAAAGTAGTTTATCAGCAAGAAAATAGCCCTACAAAAAATTTTAAAGGGATTTATTTAAGTGGGAAGAGAAGACCACAAATAGGGATGAGAAAATTATCACCAAAAAAGGCAATAAAATCACTGGTAAAGATTCAAATAGAGTAAAGGTAGCAGATCAACCATCTATGAAGACAATATGAAGGTCAAAAGACAAAAGTACAATAATTGCCTATTTCAGTGTTAAGAGGGTAATGAATACACACACCAAAAAAAGAGGTTAGATATGATGTCGAAAACATAAAGTGTGAGATGAGGGGAGGGAAAGAGTAGAGCTTTAATAAAGAGGTCAAACTAAAGACACCATCAACAAAATATAGATTGCTATATATGTAGGTTATTATATATAAACCTCATGGTAATTGCAAACCAGAAACCTATAAAAAAATAATTAAAAGACAGGAAAACATATGTAATACTAAAGAAAGCCATCAGACCACAAGGGAAGAGGGCAAGAGAAGAAGACAAGAACAGAGAAGAACTACTAAAATACCCAGAAAAAAAATGGCAATTTGGAAATAAGTACATACATATCAACAGCTACTTTAAATGTCAACAGACTAAATGCTCGAATCAAAAGGCATACGGTGGCTAATTGGATAAATAAAAAGATCCATATGTATAGTGCATACAAGAGACACACGTAGACCTAAAGATGCTCACAAACTGAAAGTGAAGGGATGGGAAAAGATCCTTCATGCAAGTGACAAAGAAAGGAGCTGAGATAGCAATACTGATATCAGATAAGATAGACCTAAAACAAAAACTGTAACAAGAGACAAAGAAGGGTACTACATAATGATAAAGGTAAGAATCCAACAAGGGGATATAACACTTATAAATATCTACGCACTCAGCATAGGAGCATCTAAATATACAAAGCAATTATTAACAAACATAAAAGGAGAAATAGACAATAACACAATTGTAGTAGGGAACTTTAACACTACACTTACACCAATGGATGGGTCATCCAAACAGAAGATCAATAAGGAAACATTGGCCTTAACTGACACATTAGACCAGGCGGACTTAGTAGATATACACAGAACATTCTATTCAAAAACCACAGAATACACATTCTTTTCAAATGTAAATGGAACATTCTCCAGGATTGATCACATATTAGGCCACAAAACAATTCTCAATAAATTTAAGAAGATGGAAATAATACCAAGCATCTTTTCTGACCACAAAGGTATGAAACTAGAAACCGACTACAGAAATAAAGTCAGAAAAGCCACAAATATGTGGAGATTGAACAAAATGCTACTGAACAATGATTGAGTCAATGAAGAAGTCAAAGGAGAAATTAAAAAATACCTGGAAAGAAGTAAAAATGAAAATAAAACATGCCAAATTCTATGGGATACAGCAAAAGCTGTTCTAAGAGAAAAGTCTATAGCAAAACAAGCCTACCTCAAAAATAAGAAAAAACTCAAAAAAAAAGATCTAACAGTGCACGTAAAGGGACTGGAAAAAGAAGAACAAACAAAGCCCAAAATCAGCAAAAGGAAGGAAATAATAAAAACCAGAGCAGAAATAAATGAAATCAAGACCAAAAAACAATAGAAAAAAATCAATGAAAGCAAGAGCTGGTTCTTTGAAAAGATAAACAAAGTTGACAAATCTTTAGCTAGACATAGCAAGAAAAGAAAGAGAGAAGGCTCAAATAAACAAAATCAGAAATGAAAGAAGAGAAATTACAAGGGACGCCTCAGAAGTGTAAAAGATTATAAGAGAAAACTACAATAAGCTATACGCCAACAAATTAGATACCCTAGAAGAAATGGATAAATTCTTAGAATCATACAACCTTCCAAAACTGAATCAAGAGGAAATAGAGGGTTTGAATAGACCAATAACCAGTAAGCAGATCAAACCAGTAATCAAAAGCCTCCCAAAAAGTAAAAGTACAGGACCAGATGGCCTCCCTGATGAATTCTACCAAAGATTCAAAGGAGACTTAATACTTGCCCTTTCCAAACTCTTCCAAAATATTGAAGAGGAGGGGAGGCTTCCTAACTCATTCTATGAAGCTAACATTACCCTAATATCAAAACCAGACAAGAACAACACAAAAAAAAGAAAATTACAGGCCCATATCACTGGTGAACATCGATGCAAAAATCCTCAACAAAATACTAGCAAATTGAATACAACAATACATTGAAAAGATCATACACCATGATCAAGTGAGATTTACTCCAGGGATGCAGGGATGGCTCAACATCCATAAACCAATCAACATCATACACCACATTAACAAAATGAAGAATAAAAAATCACATGATCTTCTCAATAGATGCAGAGAAAGCATTTGACAAGATACAGCATCCATTTATGATAAAAACACTGAATAAAATGGGTAAGGAAGGAAAGTACCTCAACCTAATACAGGCCATATATGACAAACCCACAGCTAATATCATTCTGAATAGAGAAAAATTGAAAGCTCTACCTCTAAGAACAGGAACCAGACAAGGACACCCACTTTCATGACTCATTTGATATAGTATTGGAAGTCTCAGTCAGAGCAACCAGGCAAGAAAAAGGAATAAAAGGGAATCAAATTGGAAAGAAAGAAGTGAAACTGTCACTATTTGCAGATGACATGATTTTACATATTGAAAACTCTAAAGAATCCACTAAAAAACTTTTAGAAATAATAAATGAATATGGTCAAGTCACAGGATACAAAATCAACATAAAAAATCA